AATCAGGTAGAAGTGTGAATCCAGGTTGCTAGGCTACAATTTGTGTTGCCATCTTCCCAGCGTACTAGTGATTGTATGCTTGTATGAGTCTCTTTCAATGCTTGTTTCCAGCTCTTCAAAGCCTCTTCAAATTGTGTCCTCTTCAGAAAAAGAAGTAGCGGCAAACGAGACGTACTGTGACATGGGAAGTGACTGTCTAAACCATACAAGAGAATATCAATGACTTGGACAGCGCAAAGGTCGCTCCGTACCTTTTTGACCAGCCACTTGGCGGCCAGCCGTGCAAGGCTCTGAGGTGGCGCTGTCTGTACAACCTCCATTTGAGTATTTGAGTGTCTGTTGAGTCTGTTGTGTTGTGTTTCCTCTTTTCTGTCGTTACTGCAAATTGAATGCACACAAGTGCGACTTGATGCCACCATGACAATCAAGCAACTTGTTTTTTTGCTGGCTTGAGTTTCTCCCATGCCACTCGAAAGGTTTGAGGATTGCATGCATTGTCTACCGGCTGTTCCAAACTACCATGCTCTCTCATCATCTTGGTCTTCAAACTTCCAAAGGTAAGGATCCTCCTGACCAGGTGAAACTCGATCTCCAATGCGCATGCTGTGAAGCTTTCATGTGGTGAATCTCTGTCATTGCAACTTGGCTATGTTGTATGTGTTTTTTTCCTATATACTGTATATATAAATACATTCATAGTTACATAGTATTGTATTTAGTATAGTTGCATAAGACTCCATGCCACTTGGACATATCCTTAAGCAGTTTCCTGCTAAACCACTGAACCTGATACTATTGTAGCCGGTATTTGGAACGAACAGGTCCTCTTCAACCGGCCTACCTGAGCAAGATCCGGAAACAACGCTGAGTCAAAACTATATCAATGATGGTCTAGGCAAGAGTACTCTGATCTTGCTGTAGCTCTTCCTTGCCTGTTGCCATGACCCTACCGCTTATCAATCACTTTGAACACTGTCAAGGTAGAATGTGAAGGGGTTGGGTATATAATTCGAGTGCAACCTGGACGCATCGCTCCCTGCAGTAGGAAAGCAGGGCAATGCAAACTGCGACAGTGCACACCAGCGCCTCAAACATGATGCAATGGGGACTGCAAAGCAGCGTGGAAAAAATCCAAAGGTCCAAAGGCGCACGCCAATGTTGCAAAAGGTGCCACAATCACGCCCATTGCCGCATCCACAAGCAGTGTCAGGGCAGGCCTTGCATGAGAACAAGGCCTACTCTACTCTCACCACTTCAAACCATCTTCTGCTTTGCCTCGCAATACCACCAAGCATCAACTCCATTCAATTCTGCTCTTAGCCCATCACGCCACAGCTGCGTCCAAAGGCACGACAACAAGCACACCTTGGTGCACCATCGGTTGTGAATTGAGCTTTGCAGCCGCCAAAATCTATTTGTTTTTGCGTGACACCCTGATTGATGAGTTTTCCAGTGAGCGAACACCACCCAAGTTGTTAATCATCGAATGCATATAATTGCATGTATATATAGTATATCCCCCGCCCTCTGTTCCTGTTTCTTCGCAAGACCAGGTTTGTCAAATAAACAAACACACTCCAAAAAATTGCAAGAGGTCTCTCCCGGTCCTCACTGACTCCCCTGAGAGTGCTTCCGCCACACCGGAAGAACACTCTCAGCCCAAGCGACTGGTTGCAACCACATGATTGCGGTTTTAAAACATAACGGGCACTCCTGGCAGTGCAGTTTTCTCGCAAATTTGTGTTCTTTTGAGTCAACATTTGTCAAAAAATTGCATTGCCAAAAATGGTTGTACAACAATTGCATCCAGTAGGAAAGCCTGACCAATTGACAATATACATATATATATAAAACTATATAAACAAAAATTGAAAACAACACATAAATCAAAAACCAAACAAGCATATTTCACAGAGTCTTGGCTGAACCCCCCCAGAGGACAAACCTCTGAATACAGGTTTTTTTCCCCAAACAGTGTGGGCACACTGAGGGGTTCTTACGGTAAGGGAAAGGCAGCTGATGCTTAGATCGCTGAAGCGCGCGGGCGTGAACGGCTAATTCGATGCTATTTACAGTACATTCATGCCTCTCGACGTCATCAATGTGCATTTCGACTGCGCAGGCTCGCAGAATCTGGGTGTCCGCGGCGGGTGCTTCTAGCGACTGCGCTCTCGTTGTCGCGCCGTGCGCATTTTGGTACATGGTGGTCATTTTTCGTGGCAACTTTTCGTGACAGGTGCAAGGGATCGGAACTGTTTTTATTTCGAAATGCAGTTTTCGTGGCAGGTGCAGCACTTTGGACATGGTGGTGATCGTTGAAGAGCTCAGATTTCGTGACAGGTGCAGTGAACCGTGACTCTTGGACATGTGGCTCGCTTGCAGATTTCGTGGCAGGCACCGCGCTTGGTGAACCTCGAAGCGCAGATTTCGTGACAGGTGCAGCACTTTGTGAACCTCGAAGTGCTGATTGTGTGACAGGCACAGCACTTGGTGAACCTCGAAGTGCAGATTTCGTGGCAGGCACAGCACTTAAGCCTCGAAGTGTAGATTTCGTGGCAGGCACAGCACTTTGTGAACCTCGAAGTGCAGATTTCGTGGCAGGCACAGCACTTAAGCCTCGAAGTGTAGATTTCGTGGCGCCTAGCACTTTGTGAACCTCGATGCGCAGAGTTCGTGGCAGGCGCAGCGCTTGGTGAGCCTCGAAGTGTAGATTTCGTGGCAGGCGCAGCGCTTTGTGAACCTCGAAGTGCAGATTTCGTGGCAGGTACAGCGCTTGGTGAGCCTGGATGCGCAGAGTTCGTGGCAGGTAGCATTTTGTCGTGAACCTCAACACGCCCAGTTCGTGACAGGCACAGCACTTTGTGAACCTCGAAGTGCAGATTTCGAGGCAGCTTCCGTCGACCTCTGTATCTTTAGCTCTGCTGTGAGCCTCCAAGCGCAGATTTCGGCGCAGGCGCAGCGCTTTGTGCTCTCAGATGCTCACTCTCACTCCCACTCTCTCACTCTCACCTTCACTCACACACGCTCACGCTCACACCCACTCTTCACTCTTCCTCACATTCACACTCACACTCACTGCCACTCGCACTCACACTCACACTCACTCTGACTCGCACTCACACTCACCCACTCTCCCACTCTCACTTCTCATGCTCACTCACATTCGCACTCACACTCACTCACCCACACTGACTCTCACCCACTCTCACTCTCACACTCACTCACACTCGCACTCTCACTCACACTCACGCTCGCTCTCACTCACATACAAAATACCGAATAGGCGTTGCAAGATCTCCTGTGAGGATGTTGAACTTCCACCGTTTCAATGCATGCTGGACAGTCTCTCTCTCTCTCTCTCTCTCTCCTGTATGGAACATGCTGCATCCTCGCGTGTCTTCTCCACGCCTCAAGACCATTCAAGATCCATCTTGGCCGGTGCCCATGTCAACCACGAGCATCCAATTCAAGATCCTTCTTGGCCACCCGACCAGCCGCTGTCTTGACCGCGCCAATCAACATACAAACCGATTCTTGTGCCACCAGCCCCGGTGCCCACGAGCATGACTTCTCTTATTCATAGTTCCTGAACTCCAGCTTCTAGCTGCTCCGCTTGAGGTAGATTTGTAACAAGCCGTGTCGGCCTGTCGGCTTTCTTCGATTCTGTCCAAGTCTCGACCCTGGGCTAGATGAAGGCGTTCACTCCCAAAATGCGAGCTCCAGAAACTCTCAAGACCATTGAGCCTCCTCACAGTCATCTATGTACCTTGAGAAGTCTTGATTCCCACCGGCTCGTTCGTGGAGACTCTCCTCCGCTCTTTCCCAAAGAGCAAGCTACTTTAGGATCATTTTGTGTTGGCCAGCTTCAGGCGGAGATCTGGAGAGCTGGACAAATGGTAGAATCTGCTAGATATTACTATGCAGTTCACCTTCAAAATGAGTCGCTGGGAGCCCCAGTTTATAGGACAGTTCATGCGTAAATGCTATGCTCAAAATCCAACTCATATCATATATGCCCGAACCACGTCGTTGTTAGCAGCGAAAAACAATGAAAAAAACACGATGCGGTTCTTCCCTTCGAGAGAAGGTCCAAAAAGCGAACGCAGTGAAGAAAACACTGTGTGTGGTTTCAGTGAAGTTCACGCAAATTGTTTAGGGAACCGACGCAAGGCCTTTTTGCTGGTTGCTTCGATCGCTGCACCAAGATATTCGGAATCAGCCCTAGGTCAGCAGAATCAAAGTTTGAAACTAGGAGCATTGATTATTGGTTGCAGCATCGTTTGAGTTGTTATGCACCCTCATAAAACAAAATAACGATGGCAAACATCTTCATCTTTGGGTCGCAATGCGTGTCATCTGGGGCAGTAACACATCTTCACCTTCAGCAAGGCTCTCTCCCAAAGGCTTCATGACCACCTGACAATGCTGAATCACCCACTCTGTCGTGCTGCCCCTAATTCTGTCTGGATGGATCAAACGTGGTTGCTTCTGGTCTTGGTCTGCAACACACGTGTGACGTGCACCAGGCGTCTTGATTTTCGTTTTCTGGTGCAGTGTGCAGGATACCACAGCACTTTGAGACCTTCGGCTGACCTCAAACGGACAGCTTGTTGTTGACAGCCGCACCGGATTGGTTGACAATGCCTAAGGGGTGAGCATCACAGTATGCTTGTTGGTGCGGCCGCATTTACCCTGCGTGGATGGTTAGCCAAACTGCAGGGATATACGCAGGTGGGCTTATCATTGCTCAAGTCAAGAGCCATTTGATGTGGTTGGAGATCATACTGTCACTTAGAACGATAGCCCAAAAAACATCTCTGAATATAGACGCCTACAGGACAGTTCAACTGTCTGTCAGCTGGGACTTATTAGACTTCCAATCCTATTGTGTCCTAGAGATGCTGTCACAGCTGACGGGTTTGGTCTTCTGCAAACGGAAATGGAAGGCTTGGTCGGCAAAACTTTCAAGCTTGCGCAGAAGTAGTGTTTATGATATTTGAGAGCAAACGGCTTCCACTTCCAACGTGCCAGGAGGAGGTAAAAGTTACCGGCGTATTGTAAGCCTGCTTTGGAAGACCATTTCGAGCTCAAACATGTGATTTGCAAATGTGAAACCTGCAACTGGTGCAGTTTACAGATCTCTAGACCAAAGCAGTCGGGCCACAGTGTGAGGCCACCAACCTGCTGGCAAGGCATTGCTAGGGCTGCTAGTCTTCGGTCTGGCTCACTTACCATCAAGGGGGCGACGTGGCACCATAGTCGCCTAGGGTGAACTCACAGGGTCTAGAGATCCCTCTGTCAAACAAATACGGAACGCAATTTTGGAAACCGTTGCGGACTGCAAAGATATTGAGCAGTCAGAGTTCACGTGGAAGTCTAAGTGTCAAAGTCAAAGTGTTCAACACCAACCTTTTCACTTGGGGAGAAAAATACAAGATTGTTGCTAGTGTCAAATCTCTTGCGTGAAGGACGAATGAGGCAGCTTTGCCTTGTCACTTCTCAACTAAGTTTGTAGCCCAGTTGGTCTTGACAGGTGCAGATCTCCTGAGAAACTGTCAGAAACCATCCGGCTCCCCAAACCAATCAAAATACAAAGAAGAGAAGTCTTCAAGCGCAAGAGCCCAAGGGCAAGTGTCACCATCTAAGGTCACAGCTGAAGCGTTGGCAAAGATGCCGACTTCACAACTCTTGCCTCGCAGTCTGTTTGTTATATATCTAAATCATTCTGAATCTATAAGGACGCTACTAGGGGCTCCTGGCCGTACTACTAGGAACAAGGACACTACTAGTAACTATATTATACAGCAGTCCGTTGCACCGTGCGTGCCAAGCCTTCGTCACCTCACGCTGTGCTCCAACAGTCCCAGGTCCTGAGATGTGATAAACCACACGAATTCAACGAATTGAGGAAACTCTACTAGTAGCATCCTTGCTCCTAGTAGCGATGCCGGGAGCTCCCAGTAGGGTCCTTGCTCCTGGAGCCCCTTGTGGCGTCCTGGCCCCTAGTAGCGATGCCAGGAGCTAGTAGTAGCGCCCTTGCTCCTAGTAGCGTCCTTGCCCCTAGTAGCGATGCCGGGAGCCCCAAGTAGCGTCCTTGCTCCTGGAGCCCCTAGTAGCGTCCTTGCTCCTAGTAGCGATGCCGGGAGCCCCAAGTATCGTCCTTGCTCCTGGAGCCCCTAGTAGCGATGCCAGGAGCCCCAAGTAGCGTCCTTGCTCCTAGTAGTCAGGCCAGGGTAGCGCCCTTGCTCCTAGTAGTGTCCTTGCCCCTAGTAGCGACGCCAGGAGCCCCAAGTAGCGTCCCTGCTCCTAGTAGTCAGGCCAGGAGCCCCTAGTAGCGTCCTTGCTCCTAGTAGGAGGGCCAGGAGCCCTAGTAGCGTCCTTGCTCCTATATAGTAGTAAGGCCAGGAGCCCCCAGTATCGTCCTTGCTCCTAGTAGCGATGCCATGGAGCCCCAAGTAGCGTCCTTGCCCCTAGTAGTCAGGCCAGGAGCCCCTAGTAGCGTCCTTGCTCCTATAGTAGCATCCTTGCTCCTATAGTAGTAAGGCCAGGAGCCCCCCCAGTAGCGTCCTTGCTCGTAGTAGCGATGCCAGGAACCCCAAGTAGCGTCCTTCCTCCTAGTAGTGAGGACAGGAGCCCCTAGTCAGGAGCCCCTAGTAGTGTCGGTAGCAATTTGAAGCCTTCGACTGTCGAAAGCGAAGTTCACGAAGGTGAAGTCAGTCGCGCCAGAGCAACCAATCTTTCTCGTGCAGCCGAACGACGGGTTCGTCATACGTAGGCTTAAGGGGTCCCTTCAGGATCAAATGCAGCGGAAAGGTGCTCATCGGAAGCGAACACATGCAACCACATGAAAAGGGTGACATGACATGGAACCTGAAGCACATACAATCACACCTTTTTAAGATCTTCGCTGTAGTTCAGCGGCTTTGCGCTTGGCTGAGGTAAAAGTAGGATCATACTGCAATGTCCAGGTTCCATGGATTAGCGCTTGGAGCAGGCTGCTTTGCGATTGGTGCTTCGTCAAAGCGTCTGCAAGTTGTGCATTGCTGTCAACCCACCGTGTATCAGTTGCTCCTCTTTCCAACCGTTCCATCACCGACAACAACTCTAAGGAGCTATACTTTTCAGTTAAACCAAGTCCGGAGGTGTTGATTCGACCCTTCTGAACAGCATCATACAGAGACTTAGCGTCGGTGACCATTGAGCTAGGAACTCGTTGAAGCAACTGTTCGGGGTTTTGGGGATCCAACTCAAAACCAAGCATCTCGGCCCATTCGAGCCGACAGAACATAAGTTCTTCTTCGCCCTCGCTGAAAGCCTTAAAACTCTTCCAAGAGATCAGGTTGATCTTCGCTCTTTGACCTTGTGACCAGCCCGAGCAAGCAGCCATCATCATCATCAATTGGCGGGTCCTTCTACTCATGGTTGGGCTTGTCGTGGCTAAGGAACACAGGTCAGGGTCAGTGAATCCAACTATTACGATTCTTGCCTTTGCCTTACCCGTACTTTTGAAGGTGAGTACCCATCTCATCTTCATGGTACGATTTCGGGGGGCTATTTGGTTTTTTTTCCAAGGCACGGCAAGCAGCAGCTTGGATCCACTGAGACACTTCTAGCTGCTTAGCCCCGTTCATGTCTTGGATCTGCTCGGCCGTGAGGTTCTCCATGCGCACCTCCGCGTGCTTCTTGAGCTTGTTCGCAGTCCAAGTCATGGGATCTCTCTTGAAGGCTTTCTTCTCCTTTTCCTTCTCAGGCAAATCAATTGCCAGAGCAATCATGAGAGGTGCTTCGCGGTCAGGTTCTCCATGGAATAGTTCTTCACACACAAAGGAACGTTCAGCTTGTTCCTTTTGCTGTTGCTGTTTCACATGTAGTGGACGATCATCAAGTTCGTGGCGGCGACGAGCCTCCAGGAACAAAGGATTTCTCTTCAACTCGCCTGTCCACGTCTTTCCAGCTTCATTTCCATGGCTAGGCTCGTATCGAGGGTCGCTCAAATAGCGACTGGGCTGAAAGGAACCTACCTCTACGCTACTGGTTGGGGCTTTACTGGCCGGTTCATCCAAAGAAACCAAGCGTTGAAGCTGCGGAACCATGCGCAGGCTGTGCCTCTTCAGCCGTAGGTTGCGCTTTGTTCTGGCCTGTCTTCTTCGCTTCACTTCCTAATGGTCGAACATCCGAACTTTGAGGTCTTTTCAGGCCTTGTCTACTTTCTTGTTTCGGCCTTGATGGTTTTTGTCTTCCTGCAGGTGTCCTAGACCTAACGGCACGGCGAGACACTGGTGGACCTGTACTTCGGGATCGAACTGGAAGTGAAGGGGGGAGGTCAGCTTGACTGTGATCATCATGCGTGTCGTAGTGTCCCCTTTCAACATCTTTCAACAAACTCTGAACAGTCCAATCAAATGTGGGAGGAAGTCCACCAGCTTCTGCCAGGGTTCTCTCCGTTTCGGGGGCGGTCCTAAGCTGCTCAGGGGCTGCCCGCTTCGGGCGCCCGGCTGCGGGGGTCCATACGGTATGGCCCGGTCGGGCGGTGTTGCCGTCCGGTGCCGTCTCTGTGGCCGCGGCTCTGGCAGGGCCGTACCATCGAGCAATTTGTCTTCGAGTCACATCAACGTCCCGATGGGAGGCCAATGAGGTAGAGGGGGGCTCGTACCGCTTATAGTACACGAGAGTGCCACACATCCAAATCGTGCGTTTCTGAGCCTTGCTATTCCATGCTCGGTTGATAGCTTCCTGAGCCATCTGCCGCTTGTACTCCTCCTCAGCCTTCAGGCGCATCGTCATAGACCTCTGGATCTGTTCGTGAGAGATGCGCTGCGTCTCGATGTCCTTCATGAAGTTTCTCATCAGGACTCAAGGAGCGACCCAAAGCCCATTGAGCAGGGCTGAACCCTGCCACCTTACCCATCTCGTTGTGAGCAGCGCGCATTGCCACCACTGCCTCCCAGATGTCCGTGGAGTTGCTCCTCATGAAGCGCTCCAAGGACTTGCGAAGCACACCAATGGATCTTTCCACCACTCCTATTTGGTAGTGGGCTTCAGCTGCACACGGCAGCAGCTCTATGTCTCTGGTCGTGCAGAACTCCTCAAATAGGCGCGAACGGAATGCGCCTTCGGGATCCAGTCGTAAGACAGAGGGGTGCCCAAAGAAGCGAATCCAGGAATTCTGAAGACCACTTGTTCCCCAGTCGCATTCTCATGTTCCCCTTCCTCAAGTTGATGAAGGAGATGTGGAACCATGAAGGTCGATGCCTCGTCAACCATCAGCATCACATTGATGGACTTGGTGCCCACCTTGAATTGAGCATTGTCCACTTGAAGGGTGTGCCAAAGAACATCGGCGCGGTTGAAACTAGCCTTTGAGGCCGGAACTGACCTCTTTCTCTCCAAGCAATCATCACATTGAAAATACCGGGAGGCCAAAATGATCAAAGGATCAGCTTCACGCGCCTTCAGGGTCGCCCCAAAGCTCCTCTGTGAAGGATGACCAGCTCGAACGTGAAGTCTCTTCACCAACTCCTTGACTCTCTTCCATTCAGTTGGCGTCACGCCATCGGGGACCACCTCCTCAGCAGCAGAAGCATCTTGTACTCCATATACTGCAAGAACACTGTCGTCAGGTTCAGGAGAAGGTGGAAGGGGTCGATGAAGTAGTTCCCGGGCGATGATCCTCACCATCTTTGGAGGATAGAAGCCACTCATCTTCGCAGTCTTTCCTCACCATGTACATGATCACCAGGACAGATGAGATGCAGAGCTTGCGCCATTCCACGACTGGTGGTGTAGATCATCCAAGGCTTCTTTACAGGTTCATTCTTGTCGTTCACCACCCCCACCTGGCAGCCATCCAGGTGAGTGCGGAAAAGGTTCGCCTTTTTCGCATGGACTTCTCTCAGAAAGTCCTGAACTTCTTTCCACTTCCAAGCTTCATTGTGTCGCGGCCACTCCCAGCCGAACTCGCCGTCATTCTCAAAGACGTGGGCCCTGAGAAGCTGTAGGCCTCGTCTGACAAGGCGGCGTGATTTCTTCTTTTTCATCATTGACTTCTGCCAGGCTTCATCTGTCAGCTCGTTGAGGTTCTGGATAGCGCTCGTGGCACCACACGGAAAGGCTACCCAAAGCCAACGAGGCTTTTCTGACCTCACCATGGAAAGGGCTTGTTGCAAGCCTTGCGTCGTGGAGAGGTTCATGTTCTTTTCGGTCACTCTGGCTGAAGTCCCCCCTAACTTTTCCACCATGGCTGACAGAGCAGGTGGACAACAAACCTCAAGAAGGTCCAGCTGGCGTTGAACATTTGGAGAAAACAGCACTGAGCCCATAGTCGAGCTCAAACCAAGGTCATTGAATTCAGCGATGCACTCCTCAAAAGCCGTCGTGGTGTCCTGAATCGTTTCGGCCATGAGGACCTTGACTTCGTCAGAAGTCTTTAATCCTGGTTCGCCTCCGACCAGGACGCGTCCGAACCCTCGGCCTCCAACTCCTCTGCGCCCTGCGCACCACTCCTCTTTGAGGCCTTCTTCGCTGTAGTCGTTGTAGTCTTCACAGCTTGGGTGCTTTCCTCCTTGCCCTTCTTCTTCAAAGCTTCCTTCTGGCTCCTGATAGTCTCCATGGATCGGCGCAGCATGCTCCTCCCGGCGCCGTCCAAAGCCACATTGGCCGTCTTGAGCACGTCCGGGTTCTCCTTGATCTCGTTGGCCTTCTCTTCCAGCTGCACCTTGGTGTCCTCGCTCAACGGCCCGGCCGATCGATACCGAGCGTGAGCCCCGAATGCCGGGATGTATTCCAGGCGTAGCATGCACTGGGAGCATGTCATCCACATTGCCCATCCATTCCTCCCCGACGGGGAGCCACGTCCATAGGGGGCAGGCGTGTGAACTCGTCCTTCTTTCCGTGAGAAGTCGTAGGTCTCCTCGTCGGTCTTCTTGATCTTGGTCTTTTGACCCTTGCCCTTCCCCTTGCTCTTCTTCTCGTCGGTCACCGACGGAGGCTGACTGCATGAAGGTGTCGTTGCCGCCGTCGATGGAGTCGACGCCATGATCAGGTCCAGTCCCGAAGTCCACAGGCTCAGCGTGCTTGAGCCCAGTTGCCGCTAAAGTTGGACAGGTCTCTGAAGAGTCATGCGCATCTTCAAAATGAACTGAAACAGGTGCAGGTTGACACTCTTGAAAAGGTTGCTGCGGTTCGACTGGCTGACATGCAGGAGACTCATCTGGTTGAACTGCAAAAGACTCATGCCGAAGTGAATGACGAAACTCTGGCTGCTGAAGACGCTCCATATATACCTCATCATAGCTGGGGTTGATCCAGTCGGAGGACAAATCCAGGAGCAGGTGTCCTGTGCGTTGACACTGCTGAAGCGGCACAGGTTCTTCGCTCACAGCATTGAATTGAGCAGTCTTTGAGCCAAAGTCAATGACCGCTGCCAAACGTTCAAGAGTCCTCATACCTACGAGCAGCGGCACATAGCGATCATCGGTGTCCAAAGTGTGAACTCCAAGCCAAGTTCTCTCACCCCCAATGGTCTGAGGGATCTCCACATAGGATGAGGCCTGAAGAGTCTTGCCGTTTCCGAACTTGAACGTCTTCTGCGCTCCTTCATGTACACGGAATTCGAACCTTTCCATATTGCTACCCCCCATCCGGCGTGCGGCCGGCCTGTAGAAGGCCCAGCCCCATCAGTGTACATCAGGGCCATACTTAGCTCTCGGTGGCTCCACAGTCTAGCACTGCGTGAAACTCATCTTGGGCCGGTTGGATGGCCCAAGCTGCAATGGTATCTTCTACCATGTCATCAGTGCTCCAAGCCATGTAGACGCAGTCGTCCTGAATCGGCTTCTCCATGGAATCGGGAATCGTGGTCGCATACAGGACGTCGACATAGTGAGCACTGCCTTTCCTTTGCTGTCGCTTGGGGCAATTCTGAAATGAATGATCTCGAGCCCCACAAATGAAGCAGCCAGTGTAGTCTGGATCACCAGGTCGTTGTCGGCCTTTTCCAGAACCAGGGGAACCTGAAGAGCTCGCGGCCATCACTGCAGGGGTGCTTTTCCCCTTGGATTTGCCCATTCCTTTCCCCTTTTGGAACTTGCCCTTCACGGAGGGAAAGAAACCGCGATTGTTGGTCTTGTTCTTCATCAAAGCCCTGGCCTGTACGAAGGTCCTGACTTTGTCCTCATAGGCAGCGTACACTTCATCTAGCTGCTTTTGTTCATCCGTGGTGAACTCCAGGTCAGGTTCAGTCTCTGGCCACCAAGTGGCATTTGCCCGGTGCCAGGCAGGTTCCTCCCAAGACACATTCGACCACCAGTAGTCGTCATCTTCATGAGCGGGGTCAGGTAGAGCAGGTGGTTGATATACGTCAGGAGGAAGTCGTGAACCCGCCCAGTGAACGGGTACTTCATCTTGGTCAGGTTCAAAGTCCAGCAGTCCCCATTGCTGCTTGTGCGTTTCGGTGCACCTCCTTTGTATCCATGACCTTTTCCAGGAGGTCGCCTTTCAGCGGCCAGCAACTCCTCTTCTTGATCACGTAGAGCTCGTTCAATGGCATCGTAACGGAGGGAGTTGCCAACCGAGGCTTGAACAGCGAGCCGGTTCTGTGTGGTCAAACCGGCTCTCCTCAAAAGAATCCAGCCCAAGACTTCATCGGGAAGGATCTCCCTCTCTTCAACTTCCAGCTCATCCCAAGGCACGTCTTCGTCTTGGTCTTCTTCGGATTCCTCATCACCAGCTTGGGGCCAGGATTCACTGCCATAGCGAGAGCTGTCACGGAGCCATTCTCCAGGAGTCCATTGCTGGCGTCTCCACCAGCTCCAACCACTGTAGGTGGGCGAGGCTTCACCATCTTCGGACTCGTCCGGTGCAGTCTCGTGGAACTCATCATGTTGCAATGGTCTCCTCACTCCTTCGATGGCTTCGCGAGGGAGATGGGTCACTGTGAGTCGACGATGGCCGAGGTTCTGGCTCACTTGTTGTGCCTCGTTCAGAAGTCTTGGAACTCTTAGTCTTCTCCTTCTTGTCTTCCTTCACGGCGTTCTCCTGGCGGGCACGAAGTAGAGCTCGTTGAAGTCGACGGTATGTCTCACGGACCTCATGAGACCACTGAGCGAAGGGAGTGCCAGGCTGTCGTCTCAGGCGGATCAGCAGATCCTCAAGGCGTGCCCTGCATCTGGCACGGGCGCTCGCCATAGTCGGTCACGAAGGTAGCCAATCATGCACTTGGCGCCGTTCTTGCCTGACAGTCGAGCATGGTCAATCTCGAAAGTAGCTTGCCAGGCTTTGTCGGTGAGGCGACTCACCAGTTCAGGGCCAAGTCGACATCTTTTGGCCGGTTCCGTCTTCTCATACTGAAGTCGCACCTTTCGTACGTAAGTCACCGTTCCAGGTCACATAGATATTCTTGGCGGCCACTGTCGTCATACTTGGGAGCCGGCGCCAAGTCAGAGAGGTAGAGCTCAGGCCACTCAGAAGGGCGCCGAAGATGAAGATCAGGAGGAAGTGCAACCGCCCTGGAAGTAGGTGCTGGGTGTAGGCCGCCCCGCGTGATCAGGTAATCGATGGAGGCGATCTCAAAGCAGCGGAGTCGTAGGGCCCTTCGACCCTGGAGCCTGGAGCCGTCGTGGCTCCGCTGCCAGTATCGGTAGCAATCCGAAGCCTTCGACTAACGAAAGCGAAGTTCACGAAGGTGAAGCCAGTCGCGCCAGAGCCACCAATCTTTCTCGTGCAGCCGAACGACGGGTTCGTCGTACGTAGGCTTCAGGGATCCCTTCGGGATCAAATGCAGCGGAAAGGTGCTCATCGGAAGCGAACACATGCAACCACATGAAAAGGGTGACATGACATGGAACCTGAAGCACATGCAATCACAAGTAGCGTTCTTGCTGCTAGTAGTAAGGCCAGAAGCCCCCAGTAGCGTCCTTGCTCCTAGTAGCGATGCCAGGAGCCCCAAGTAGCGTCCTTGCTCCTAGTAGTCAGGCCAGGAGCCGCTAGTAGCGTCCTTGTTCCTAGTAGGAGGGCCAGAAGCCCCTAGCAGCGTCCTTGCTCCTA